CGAGATGTGCGATTTAACGAAAAGCTGACGTATCCAGGAAGTTTCAAAACATCACTATCATTACGATACCACGTTTCTGATAACATTACTACGTCAAACAAAAAAGGAACCTGATTAAAAAACACTTCGAAATCTATATTTTTATTTTTAGCAGATTGGGCATTCACATGCAAATATTTCGTGAAAGCATGGCGTTCAGTACCAAGATATGCCTCAAGGTCACATGGAAGTAAACAATCATGACCAAGCATTAAAACGATAAACGACCAAGTGAACTTTCAAAGAAGGGAAAAAAAATATTACTACAGCTTTCGCAGGTCATCCTCACATCTGACAACAGCTGCGCGCTCGCCCACCCCACGCCTGACAAGAATTTTTCCATTTTGGTGCCATACGAACTGATAGGACCTTTGCTTTGCCCATTCTTTTGCGATCCAGAGGAGTGCCTTGTTTTGTTTGGTTAAGTTTTCTAAAATATAAATACTTCGCTGACCGCGTGCAAGTTTTTTTTTTATTCCGAAGCCACTCGTCGCGTTTTTCTTGTTGTGCAAAACGTATGATAATTCCGGGAACTTTGTCGGACTTCGACGGCATTCTGTGAAGAGCTACTACGTCACTTGCCTTGAGCGCTGGTAACTCGAGTTTCTGTGCTACCTCGTTTACTTTCGTCATCAGGTTTTCATTTTCAGCTGGTGTAACATTGTGAATTTCCAGATTTAAACGCCTGCTGCGCCATTCAAGGTCATGTAGGCCCGACTTCAGTGCCTGCATTTCGGTTGTGTTATCCGCATTCTCAAGGCATTCCACGCGCTTTTTTAGATCATTAATTTCCTGACCTTGGTTTCGCACTTCTCCCAGTAGCTCTTGATAGTCTTTCGACATAACTTGAATCGATTGGTCGATGCTGTCAACCGTTTCCCTAAGACCTAGTAGGCTCTCTAGCTTGGCGTTTATGCTGACAAGCATGCTTGGTATATCAAGGGTAGTTTCCTTGCTGGCACTTCTCTTTTTTGCAGTTACACATGTCGGGCACCGCCAATTTTTACGAAGACAGTCACCCTTCGATTTACTAGCTGGTCGTTGAACACCCGAGCAATCTCCAAGGTGGTAAAAAAATTTGCACTCAACACATGTCACGAAAACCCCATCACCCGGCAATGCCTGATCACACGCCAAACAGGTCTCGTGCTGGGCGCCAGCCATATTACTGTATCAGTTTCATAATCGGCATAAAAGGCTATTCAATAACGCTAAGTGTTGCAGTCGGCGGCAAAAGCATGCAAAATCTAAGACATAGCAGGAATAACGCTCACCTGTAGGTAGAAAAAACGCAGTTTTACACACTGTACGAAACGTTTGCCGCCGACTGCGAGGACTGTTGTGGCGGGTGCGCTTTTATCTTCGGAGAGGGTGCCGAAAACTGCGCCGAGACACTGCGATCCTTGCGGCGGGCTGATGGCGTAGCTGTGGGCAGGATGACTTGTCAGTGAAGACAGCCTCGCATCTTGTTCGGTACACAGTTGACGAGGAATCGGTCTGGTCGAGGCGCAGAGGTGTGCTTCCACGGTAGACCACAGCGCATCGGAAACTGTAGGTAGAAAAAACGCAGTTTTACACACTGTACGAAACGTTTGCCGCCGACATCCTACATCCGCTACTTATGTAGCGGATGTAGGATGTCGGCTGTGTTGCTGATGAACTTTCCGTAGTAGTTCAGCAGTGCCAGAAAGGCTCTGAGTTCTATTTGGTCTTTTGGCGTATTAGCTTGTAATATCGCCTCCACCTTCTAGGGATTTGGGTGGAACCCTTGCTTCTCTACGACATGTCCTCGGTACTCGATAAAGTCCTGCACGAATCAGCATTTTTGCTTTCCCATGCGAAGGCCACTTTCCTTGAGCTTTTGCATTACGATGTCCAGGTTCCGCAGGTGATGTTGATTGTTTTTGCCAGTCACCACGATGTCATTTTAAAATTCATCAGTGTACAGCAAGCCCCCATCAATGTTCTTTGATGATGCGTTGGAAGATAGCTGATGCTGGAATTATTCCAAATGGCACTCTGTTCACGTTGTAGAGCTCTTTGTGTTGGTCACAGTGGGATTTCTCGATTTTTCCGTTAAGAGGATATTGAAGTAGGCTTGTTTGCAATCCAGCTTGGTGAACGTCCCCCCGTGGGCAACCTTCGCAAGAGATCTTCGGTTATCGGTAGTGGGTAACTTTCTGGCTTCAAGGCTGGATTGAGTGTTACCTTGTAATCCCCGCATATGTGCACTTGTCTATATGTCTTCATCACTGAAACGATTGAAGTTGCCCACTCACTCCTCATCACAGGAGCGATGATGTGTTCTTTCTAAAGACGATCCAACTCCTCTTGAATCTTTTTTCGGAATAGGGTATGAAACTGACCTTGGTCTGAGAAACTTTGATTGAGCATCTTCATTCACGCAGAGTTTCACGGCGTAGTCCTTCAGTTTTCCGGGACCTTCAAAGGCGGAATCGTGTTTCTGTATGACACTTGCGAGAGTTGCGGTTTCTGCATGCACTTTTTGTTCTTCCATCCAGTTCACTTGAACGTCCTGAAGCTATACCCTCCCCGTATGGGAGGTTCCGCATTCTTCACCAGTTGGATTTCATGATGCTCGACTTGCCCGTTATACCGCATCTGCACTTGAACCATTCCCCCTAAAACGATGGACTTGCTGGTGTACGGCTTCAGCGTTATTTTCGAAGGTTTCAACTGTATGTCTGGAAAACTTTTTTGAAACGTTTCCAGATTGATTACAGTCACCGGTGAGCCTGTATCGATCTCCATCTGAAGAAGTTTGTTTCAAATCCCCACAGTTATTGTAATGGGTTTCGGGTCGGCTTGAGTCGATGAAATAAAACGGAGTTTATTCTCTTGAGTTCTGTGTAGCGACATGACTAGTTAAGCTTGGTTCTTCCTCCCTCCTTCTTGAATTGCGTTGATCTAGTTTCTTGTCACGGCAGACCACCTGGAAATGTCCTGTCCTTCCGCACATTGAACAAGTCTTATTCTTTGCAAATCACTTTTCAGGGTCGTGATTTTTCGTGCCGGAACGCTGACATGGGGTCCTGCTTGAGCAAGGTTTTCCTTTTCTATCGCTTGCCATTTTCGGAATTGACGTTTTGTATTTGTGCACTTGCGCCAAGCGATTGATATATTGTTGAGTCTCGCTCCTTATTTCCTTCGCATCCTTCATGGATACCTTAATCGAAGTGGCAAGATTCACTTCTGCATTGAATGTCAGCGTCGGTTCAGCCAGCAGCGTCTCAAGAATGTTTCCGTCCTTAATGCCGTCAATAAGCTTGTCTTGAGGTTGGTCGTTGAGGGAAACAGAAGTTGCATTGCCGCGAAAGCTGTTTGAGCACAGCTACGTAGTCTGAGGTGGTGTTGGATTCCCGCTGCTCCCGGTGATGGAATTTGTAGCGTTCAACCGTTTCACTAAGGAGTCGAGTCGATGTGGTTCTGCACTAGTTGAACGATCGTCGTGGTGCTTGGTTTGGCAAGTGCCGCCAAGTTCCGTTTTAGTGCGTAGGTTTCTCGTCCGACGGTCGAAAGTACAACATCGGCTCGCTTTGATTCCAGAATGTCGTTTGGAGCGTAGAGCACTTTGATATTTTCAATGTACGAAGACCATGATTCTGATTTCTGTTCGAACTCTTCAATTTTCCCGATGTGAGGCATTCTTTAGGTTTGAAATGGGCGTCACTCACGTTACCGTTGTCTCCTTTGTTTCGATGTAGCTCAGTTGTTTATAGCCGTCTTTGTTGCATGGATCCCATCCTCGTCGCCATTCAGATTTACCGATTAATGTTGAATAATGCAAATATATATATTTATTTAACTGTTTAGTTTACAATCAGTTAGTCTTACGAGAAGCAGCTTGTCTGGTCTGCGACCGCGCCCAGTCTTTGGCTTCCAGGCGTCCCGTGCTTCTCCGTGGCTCGCCGCCCGGTTCTCGCCTCCCAGTGTCTGGGGTTGCATCCGCCGTTGTTCCGGCTCAATAGGTCGTGTTCGCTATACACAGCGAGCGCTCACATAATACACGGCAATAAGCAAACGGGGCTGTGTGAACCAGCCTCAGCGGTTTTTACGCAAAATACAGAAATCGTTGCACTGCCTCTACGTAAGCTTTCGTAATGTAACGTAACGTAAGAAAACGGACTGTGTAAACCAGCCCTAAGAGTTTTGCAGGGTAGTATTGATAAGTTTCTCGTTATCATAAGGCATTGTAGGAGATGTTTTTAATTGCGATTTCTTTGATTTTTAGGTTTAACAAATTGGGCATACGAAAACCTTCATGTATTATACATAACACACCTATTTATTTTCTAAGTTGATGCCAGTGGAAACTCTGACAAGGTCCCAAGGAATGATGAATTATTAGGTACACAAATAGGGCGATCCTGCTTTGTCTCTTGGAAGAGAGCTTCCAGCAGATCGTCTTTTCAAACGTACCGTTTTGTATATATTCGAACCGTATATGACATTTGATTTTTATTGGATATTTTTGACCATACAAGGGCTCTTCATAAAAAAAAAAGAAACAAAAGAAAGTTAAAATAATTTTTTGAGGACACCGATGTTTTTACTGCTAAATAGGTGTATGTCTAAGCTGTCATTTGATATATAATTTATGCAATAACAATGAATGTAAGGAAGTTATCATTCAAACCAGGTAATTTTTAGCAGTGAGGTTTCAAATTTTATAAATTCTATTGTAGTTCCAAAAATAATGAACAAAGTTTTTTTCTTCTCCGAAATATCTTTGAGCCTGGTGAAAAACCCAAATATGCGACATGTGATAATCGTCCAAAATCAAAATCCGTTTCCGGTCCTTTCGGAGTCAACAACTCGAGAACCAAAAGTTATCCACAAAAACGGTTTCTATTTTTGGTCTGGTCAAGAGTTGACCTACCTTTCTTGCCCGAGTTGAAATTAAATGGCCCATATAGATTCTCACGCGTCGACGTCCGCAGGTTCTTGGTGAAGCACGTGCGTGACCTGCGCAGTCAGCTGGGCTTGCCGGGTTCCAGCGTGTCCTGGGACTCCGTCATGACCAGGCTCAAGGACCAGGTGCTGCTGCGGGTCCTCTCGTGTGTGCAGATTGCCAGCAAGAAGTTCTACAGCTCCAGGGTGAGGCTGTGTTCCTCCGTCATACCAGAGGGCGGAGGTGGGAGTTTTGTTTCTTAAGTTTTATTTTCTCCAGGCTTCTCTTTTTTTTTCGCCTAATTTTTTTTCTTTAGTATTTTCTTGGAGGCACAAGCATGTGCCTTGGGACATTCCAATAATGCGAAAACCGTTGGAACGAACTCTTCACAATTTCAGAAAGTGAATTTTTGAAGCTGTGCTAAGGGCGCAGCGCGTTTGTTTCCCTCGCTCGTTAAGCTGTAGTCAAGAAACTTTTGGATGGTCGCTTCTACCCCTAGGTTGCGCTGAAAGGGCGCAAGAATAAATGGCGTCGGTACATGCGACCTCTCTCCGAAGGAGCCAGACATCGGTGGTGCTGGGCGGAGGTGTTACCAATGTATTGAATTATTCCGCATTTTCACGACCCCGGAATGGAATGGAAATGGAATGGGCGGCAACGTTGAGAATAATGGAATGGGAATGGATTTAGGTGAATTTTGCCCGGAATGGAATGGGAATGGAATGGGCACAACTCTTTTTTAGAGCGCAGCTCTTAGGCGCCCGTTCCCGGCTTGAGCGGCGTCGGCGTCGGCGTCGGCGTAACCGCGAGTAACCCTCGTAACCCTCGTGAGGGTTACGAGGGTTACTCTCACGAGGGTTACCCTCACGAGGATCACGAGGGCTACGAAAGTTACTAAGCCTCGTAACCCTCATGAGGGTTACGAGGGTTAGTTACTCTCAAAAGGGTTACCCTCGTAACCCTCGTGAGGGTTACGAGGGTTTTTCTCACGAGGGTTACCCTCACGAGGATTACGAGGGCTACGAGGTTCAGTTACTCTCGAAAGGGTTACCCTCACGAGGGTCACGAGGGTTACCCTCACGAGGGTCACGAGGATTATGAGAGTTACCCTCACGAGGGTTAGGAGAGTTACCCTCACGAGGGTGACGAGAGTTACCCTCACGAGAATCACGAGAGTTACCCTCACGAGGATCACGAGAGTTACCCTCACAAGGGTTACTAGGGTTACCCTTACGAGGGTCACGATGGTTACCCAGGTCACGTGACCCCCTCCCGAGGTCACGTGACCCCCATTGACATCATCGCCACTGATGACGTCATCAGTGATGATGGCGATGACGATGCGGATGCCGGTGAGGTCATCAGTGACGTCACTAATGACGTCATCAGCGACGATGACGATGCGGACTCCGATGACGTAATCCGTGATGATGACGATGCGGATGCCGGTGACGTCATCAGTGACGTAACTGATGACGTCATCAGTGATGACGATGACGATGCGGATGCCGGTGAGGTCATCAGTGACGTCACTCATGACGTCATCAGTGATGATGACGATGACGATGTAAATGTCGGTGACGTCATCGATGACGTCATCGGGGAGTCACGTGACCCTGGGGGGTGGTCACGTGACTTCGGGGGGTCACGTGACTTTGGGTGTCACGTGACCTTGGGGGTCACGTGACCCTGGGGGAGGGGTCATGTGACCTCTGGGGTCACGTGACCTTGGGGTGACCTTGGGGGCCACGTGACCTTGGGGTGACCTTGGGGGTCGCGTGACCTTGGGGTGACCTTGGTTACGCCGACGCCGACGGCGACGGCGACGCCAACGGCGACGCCGACGGCGACGCCGACGCCGCTCAAGCCGGGAACGGGCCCATAAGAGCTGCGCTCTAAAATAAAATGAGCGGGAAACTGCTAGCCCGCGCGGAGCCATAACAGACCTATACGCAAAAAAAAAAATGCAATACAAGAAACAAGCGTCGAAGCAAAGGCCAAAGGGGGAAAGGGGGTACCGGTGGCACCTTTCACGGATGCGCAGGCGTCGGGCTTCGATGGCGTTACACGAGAACGAAACAAGAAACCAAGCACCAAGCAAAAGAAAAGGGAGCGGCAAACAAAGAAACCGCCATGCACAGCTCCTCATCGTCCTTCTTGTCATGCTTTTTTTTTTTTTTGTTGTTGCGACGGTTTCTATAGTCTGTTTCATACTTAGCGTGCAACGCTGTCAAAGCTACTGGCGCGAGCGCGTGGCTTCTTTTATGGTTTTGTTTGCGCGAGAACGCGTGCAAATGGTCAACGAGGTCAAGCCCCGCGCTCGCGCCAGTGGCTTTGACAGCGTTGTACATATGCTAAGTATGAAACAGTATAGAATGCACGCGCGCGCACAGACTGAGATCTGGGAGCGGAAGCGACTCATAACTCGCAGAGCTCTGATAACTCGTTGACTCGGGCGCCGCCGAGAGATGATCAGGTATTGTTTTCTTATAGTTCGAGGAGCGTTGTTTAGCAGGCAGCCAACCCTGCTGCCTTCCACGTTAATTCGTGCGCACTCCTTTGAAGCGCGAAATGTGGGTTTGCTTCGGCATTAAAACAGAGCCAAATTCACTTCCCTCTTCTCCTCTTGCGCTTTGCTCCGGGGCTTGTTTTTTTATACTGCATTTGTAGCGTAAGTCCGCCTTTTACTTGGTCTTTGTTCCGATGCTTGTTTTCTGTGTTATATGTTTAAGTGGGTTGGGGTTACAAGCAAACTAGCCGATTCCCGCTCTTCTGTTTTGACTTTAGTCTCTGCATACTTCGTTTCACCTTGCGGTGGACCGCTGCTGACGCTACGAGTCACCCCAGGCAATCCAGCACCGTGAGCGGGACTGCAGGGTCACGCGACACTCAGAAGGTACTGGATTGGTTTTGATGGCTCTCGTGCTGTCTGTTGAGGTCCATCGTAAAGTGAATTAGACTATCGTCACCGCTCTTGGTGTGACCAAACTGACTAGACCTGCATGCCGAAAGACCGTCCCGCGCCAGACAAGGCGGGACCGTTGCTGTGAGGGCAACTGAGAAGGAGAGCTGGGTTCTAGCTGCCACTGAGGTTTTCGCGCGTCTCGGCTGTCCGGTCTGCATTCATGCTCCTTGTCCTGGACCCTGTTTGAGGCGGTGAGAAGTCAGTTGGACGGTGGTGTTGAGGAAACACGGGGAATGTCAATTCGAACGGGGCGGTATTACCCCGTTATTTGTATCTTGATGTTAAGCTAGCTTTGTCGACGCTGACTGCGCGACCCGTCGCCACAACGCGAACAACCGACACCGAGGTAGAATAATGAATTGGGTGGTACCGCCTGCTTCTTGAACCCGCCTCTCGATCAGCGCGAAGAGGACAGATCGAGTCTGGCCATCGTGGAAGACATTTTTCGACATTAGTCGCGAAGATAATAAACAAGCTGCACGCTGAAAGTTGTGCAACGAAACTATACACGGTGCAGTCGGCGTATATCATCGAACTTTATTCGCCATCTGAAGAGGAAACACGAGAACGAGTATGCAAAGGGTGGAAAAGGCAGAACCAGCCAAAAATTGAATTGAAAGTGATAAGAAATATCGAGATTCGTAAAGCAAGCGTGAACTTATGCGTTTTAAAACAGGTTTCGTGACCTATACGGTAGTGATGCAAAACTATCGATAGTTTTTCCGAAACTATCAATAGCGTCGCAGAACTATCGATAGTCAACTATCAATAGTTTTTCGATAGTCGATAATCGATAGCACTATTGATAGTTTTTTAATAGCGGACTATCGATAGTTTTTCGGTAGTCGACTCTCGATAGTGCTATCGAGAGTTTTTTGATAGTCGACTATCGATAGTACTATCGATAGTTTTTCGATAGCGGACTATCGATAGTGCTATTGAGAGTCTTTTGATAGTCGACTATCGATAGTTTTTTGATAGCCGACAATCGATAGGGCTATCGATAGTTTTCTGATAGTCGACTATCGATAGAACTATTGATAGTTGTTTTACTATCGATAGTCAGATTTCTGGCGACTATCGATACTATCGATAGTACTATCGATAGTTTTACACTACTACTATACGGTCCCTCGTGCTGAGCCGCAGAGGTTGCATTTTGTCAGTGGATGTGTCCTTGCCGCTGTGCATGGAGTCGCTTTCAGCAGTGTACTAGCCGTGTTGCAGTATTTGAAGAATACAGTAATATAGTTTATTCCTGCGCCACGCACGAACCGTATATTTTTTGGTCTTATCAAACAAACACGCTGGCCGCGTATTTCCTAAAAGTCAAATGCAAAAAAGTTAAAAAAGGAAAAGAAAATGAGTGGTTTTAAGTTTTGCTGTTGCGAGCCTAGTGGTCGCGAGACCGATGTCTTCAACAAGCATCGACATATCAAGGGGCTTTCTCGATGTTTGCAGTACATTGTAAATAAACACTTTGTGCCACCAGCGGCCCGCTTAGTAAAAATCAGTGCTTTTTTAAGGAATTTAGCTTTTTTGTTTTTTGCAATTGTGTTTGCATTTGATTATGTCAGCTTTATGCTGCTTATGCCGGCAACACAATGCAGCTGTAAAGTGCCAATTTTCACGTTTAGGAATTAGAGGAATGGAATGGAACGATTCAGCCATTCCAGGAGTGGGAATGGGCCCAGTGTCTCCATTCCTAGGAATTGAAAGGAATTGAATTCTCGAAAACTCTAATTCTCCGGAATGGAATTCGAATGGAATGGGGGTGCTCATTCCGCAACACTGGTCCATGCAGCCGTTTTTCGTTTGAACAGTCGTGGTTTGGGCTGGACCGTACTGGTTTCGTGATGCTGCGGCGCGGTTCCAGCCGTCCACTTCTGCCCCGTTCGTTCGATCGTTGCGCCCACCTTCCCTCTTACAAGGGGGAAAGTGGTGTTGAGCTTAAATCTTTTGTTTTTAATAGTCATACTTGGAGCTTTTTCGCGATGGATTTGATTGGAGTGACCTCCGCAGTATTGAGAACAGCGGTGCTCCTTTCTGACGGTCCATGTGTTTTGTGCTGTGCGAGCCAATCCTCTTCGTTCTCACTTTTTCCATCATGGTATGAAGTTGTTATGGTATAAAATGAGGATTGGAAAAACTTCGGTTGAAAAAATTGCTTACTTGCTTCGATGTTGTTCCAAGATTCGTTTATTGGCCAGTCCATGGCATGCGTTCGTTCACAGCACTGCAACTGACTTCGTTTTTGTTGAGGGTCGCTCCTGGCTTGAAGTTTCCTGGTTTCGGCACCAGTAAATTGTTGTGCAATGAACTTCAAAGACTGGTTTTAGGAAAAAAAATTGGTTTGCTATTCGCAGCTTCAAAATGGCTGTCATCCAGATGATTATATATATCGTTGGACAGCGATACAAGGTTGGGTCTGCAACGCTGAAGCAATTCTAAGTTTGCGTTTTAAACACAACATATATAAAAACCGTACCTCATACTTCTACATCAGGAAGGTTAAAGCAAGCATGTTTATTCTGAAGTCGACCATCTAGGAGTAAGGGAGCGCGTCCAAAGCCACATACCCCCACCGAGCACCACCACGCCAGGAGCAATATTCCAAATCCCAACTGAAGACTCCGAACCACTAATCATGGAAAGCCTCACGCGTCATAACCCCACCATAACAGTCCTCGACGCCCGTCGCATCAAAGACACGGGCATCGTGCAAGTCCTCTTTTTGGGGCCGCATGTACCCTTCTGGGTGCGGTACCGTGCGGTTATTCTTCGTTGCTACCCCTACAAGAGGAAAACCAAAGCATGCATGGCCTGTTGGTCAGCTGACCACAGGCGAGACGTCTGCCCCAAACCCTTACCGAAACCCCACTGTACAATTTGTGGTACACCGGGCCCCACACCAAATCACCCATGCCAGCCTCGCTGCAGCCTCTGTGGACAAAATCACCTGACAGGTGCAGCGGGATGCCCTAAACGCTTCCAGCCTCGCCGCACCCTACCGAAAACCCTACACAACATACCCCCCTTCACCCCCGAGACCGGACCTGACCGCAACACCACGACCTTCACCACACCCGGACTCACCTACAGCCAAGCCGCTCAGGGCCAGGTGCGCGCAGCTCTGCTCCCAAATCCCCCAATTCACCCACCCCCACCCCCGCCCTCCACATGGCAAAACGAAATGCGCCAAATGCGCCAGGAAATGCAGCAATTGCGTAACACTATCACCCTCCTTCGCGCAGACAATGAGCGTCTACAAGCGGAAAACCGTCTCCTTAAACAGCAACTCCAAACCTCCCACAAACCTCCAGCCCCGTCACCCAATCAGCTAACCACCTCCCCTCCGAATAAGAAACGGGCACTGCCCCCCAATTCTGACCCTCTCCCCACATCCTCAGGCAACGCAGAAATAGCCACCCTACGCGCCAAAATAGAAACGGCTTTCGATAACCACCGCCAACACACCTCTGCCCAAATCAATGCAATCCAGGAATCGGTACACTCCCTATATCAAGAAGTCCTACGATGGATGCACCTTGCCGCCCCAGCTACCACACCCCTACCTATAACCCACGAAAATTACCCGGACCTCTAACCCACAATACATCTGGCAATGGAACTGCCGCGGTTTTCGAACCAAAAGAGCCAACCACCAAGCACACATTGCATCCATACCCAACCCCCCATCCTCATAGCACTACAGGAAACATACCACTCACCGAAGCTCAAAGACTATGCATCTCACTCCCCACCGGATTTCACCCAGATAGCCACCCTTGTACATCGCAATATTGCCACCCAGCACGTAACTTTCGCCTCACCGATCCCACATATACTCACCACACTCCACCTTCCCAAATCCCCTGTCACACGCCTGCATGTTCTTAATATCTATAGCCCCCCTAAATCCAAACACATATCCTTCAAATACATCTTCCAGCAAGCACTCGCTTTCACTAAACGTGACCCTCTCCTAATTGTAGGTGACTTCAATGCCCCTAACATAGAGTGGGGCTACTCTTATACCACTCGCAAAGGCCGCCTACTCTCTGAACTCACCCATTCCCTGAACCTCACCCTTCACACCGACCCTTCCTCCCCCACACGCATTGGCAACAGTGCCCAGCGCGATACCACTCCCGACCTCACCTTTAGCACCGGACGGCTCACCCTTCACACATCCACAACACCACACACACTTGGCAGCGATCACTACATCATCAGCACGTGTCTTACCCTCAAAGGCGTCTCCACAAGCCCCCCACTTCCACCACCAACACACACAGATTGGGATCTATTCCATACCGAATGCCCACCCCCACCCACCACCACCTGTGATTCCGACCTAGAACAATGGACGACCCACCTTCTCTCAGCTAAACAGATTGCAACCAAAACTATCGACCCTCCTCCCTCAGCGGAATATGTAGATACCCACCTCCGTAACCTCTGGGACGCCTACAGCAGCCTAGAGCAGCGCTGGCGGAAACATAAAAACCGACGCAACCTTCGCCTCAAACTACAAACTCTCCGCACTAAGATCGAAACGCACGCACTCAGATTAGCCAGGAACAACTGGAACAATATTTGCGACGAAATGCGAGGCCAGCTCTCCACTAAGAAGGTTTGGCACATCCTCCGTGCCCTACTCGACCCGCGCACTACTAAGACGCAATCTCGCCACCAAACCACACAAATTATAGCGGAAACTCAGCTCTCACCCACCGCCCTATGAGACACCCTCCGCTCCATATACATCCCACCTCCATCATCACACCCTGTTGGTCCTCCACAATACACTGGCAACCCCAACCCAGAGCTCGACGCCCCCATCACCTTTGCAGAACTACAAGCGGCGGTGCAAGCCCTCAAACGCAACACCACACCAGGACATGACAACATCACAAACACCCTCTTACGTTACCTCAATGAGGAGGTCCTAGAACACCTTGTACAGCTCTTCAACCAACATTGGCTTAACCACACCCTTCCCTCCACCTGGAAACACTCTGACATCACCCTTATCCCCAAACCTGGAAAAACACCCTCCATACACAACCTTCGCCCCATCTCACTCACCTCCTGTCTCGGCAAACTTCTCGAACACGTCCTGCAGAATCGCGTCAATGCGCACCTTGAATACACACAAACCTACCCACCTAATATGATCGGCTTTCGACCCAACTCATCCACGCAAGACGCCCTTATACAGTATCATCATGATTTCCACCAACACCCCCCGCAACGAGATCACACCTCTATACTCTCACTAGACCTCCAAAAAGCCTCTGACAATATCTCACACCATAGCATCCTTCAGGCAATCTCATCCCAAAACCTAGGCCTACACTTCTACCACTATATCTATAACCTTCTCGCAAAACGTACTGCTATTATCCGTTTGGGCCATGTCCAGTCTGATTCTTTCCACATGCCAGACCGCGGAACACCACAAGGAGCGGTCCTCTCGCCCATGCTCTTTAACCTCACCCTAATCCCACTTGCCCGTACTCTCCTCACTATCCCCACACTACGCAGCACACTGTACGCAGATGACATTGCCCTTTGGGTCCACACTGGCTCCGACCAACACATTGAAGCAACACTTCAACACGGCCTCAACCAAGTCCTACATCACATCGAACCTTTGGAACCCACCTCCGCACCCCCACCTCTCCCAAGAGGCAGCACACATGCTGCGCCTCTTACAAACACACACTTTCCCCCACCGAACACAACTAATACACACTCACCCACACCTCTTTACCACCCCCGCCTGTCCTGCCTGCGGGGCATTCGACACTCATTACCATTCCCTTTGCGAATGCCCCGCAGACCCATACCCCCCTCTTCCCTCCCCTCACCTCTGGGAGCAGATGTTGCGCGACCCGGAGGAGTCAGCCCAAGTCCTGACCACCTCCCGGGCCCTGGCGATCGCGGCGGCCCTCTGGGCCTCCACCACCCCCAATACCTGATCCCGGAAGAATAATAAAGTTTCCTCCTCCTCCTCGGGTCTTTGGCTGTGCAATCTATAACAAAGCTTCGGCGGGACTTTTCTTCAGTGACGCTCCGACCTCGACGATGTTCGCGCCGTCGAGGCACAAAATGCGCACATGGTTGCTCTGCGCACATTACCACGACGTGACACACAGTACGTCCCGCGTCGCCACTGAGCCGGAGAAGGAGTTCTACGAGTGTGCGTGGTTATTCTCCGTCCGCAGGTGGTGAGCATCAACGCTGTTCGGCGCTTCCTGAGGAGCGCCAGCCAGTCGTACAGCGCGGCCAGCGTGCTCCAGTCCGAGAAGCGGGTGCTGAGCACGCTCCAGTTCCGCGTCGAGTTCCCCACACCGCTCGTCTACCTCGAGGTCCTCCTGGACGTCATCGGTGAGACCGCCCGGAGGGTCAGGCTCCGCCCTCGCTCCGATCGGCCAGGTTCCGCCCTTCTTCGCGCACACTGAAGAGGTGGGGCCGGCCGGAAGAATTATGTGGTTGTACTGTGAAAATCATCCATGTAGCCGCAAAAAGTTCAAAGGGTCTTTTAGTTTCGCCCCCCGAAAAAAAAAAGTTCAAAGGGTCTTTTAGTTCCGCACCCCCACCTCTCCCAAGAGGCAGCACACATGCTGCGCCTCTTACAAACACACACTTTCCCCCACCGAACACAACTAATACACACTCACCCACACCTCTTTACCACCCCCGCCTGTCCTGCCTGCGGGGCATTCGACACTCATTACCATTCCCTTTGCGAATGCCCCGCAGACCCATACCCCCCTCTTCCCCCCCCCCCCCCCCCCCGAAAAAAAAATACACGTGGAGCTTACATTAATTACGTATTCCGTTAAATTCTTTTTATTGTATGTTTTAGGCATTTATGACAAAATATTTGTTTTGAATACAAACCTGCTCCTACCAGAGAAATAATAAAACAAAAACAATTTAACACAATTGCGAGGACGCTTCGGACTAAGTGCTTTGTTTTTTCCAAAGGTGGCGCCATCAAAAACAAAAAGTAAGATTTTTTAGCGTTTTACGATCACCACATTTTAATTGGTAATGGTAGTAATAAAAAATAAGTAACAATCATCTATGGTACTTTTGACCTTGGAACTTGCGATGGCTGAAGAAGCAACATAGTTTTTGCTCTCTCACTCCACGTGTTGAATCACAAATAGAAAATAAGGCAACAGGATTGCGTTATCGTTAGTGAATCCCCAACCCGCCTCAAGCAGCAAACATGGTAAAGTTATATGAAAGTAGGCGGCAGAAAAATGGCAGACACGTCCGTCTTGGCGTTGCCGTGAGCTCACGTTGCTTTCGTTGAAAGACGCCGGTGGAGACGCTCGCAGCTACGTGTACGCGAGCTAGGCCAACACCTCCTAGATAGCAAAGCCACAGTGCTCAATGAGATGGAATCACCAGAGAAGGGAACGGCGATTGCGTTCGTCTCAAACTTGACTCGAAGCTGAGCACTGACGCAGCACTTGTTTCCAATATGTGTCTAGCATTGCCCTTCGCTGTGACGCAAAAATCTCATCACTACGGCTTTGTCTTTTAGGCTGCGTTGGCTAGGCGCCGCTGCGTGGGTCCACTTGTTCGAGAAACTAAGTGGTGGAGCCACGCCAGCGCATTCCTTCTGCTTATGCCGCCAACTCCTCGTTTGCGGAGAAAGAGAAAAGGGCCGCCCACACTAGCGAGAAAACGCGCGCGGCGCGCCGATCGCGTTGAAAACGCGATCGTTTTCAACGCGATCCGCGTGTCGATCGGCACGCGGCATACCACAAGAAATAGTGCAGGGAGCCATTACCTCGCGGCAGGAAAATCTTACCGATTTTGCGGAACGCGTTTTCAACGCGATCGGCGCGTCGCGCGCGTTTTCTCGCTAGTGTGGGCGGCCCTTAACACGAACAAATCGGTCCAAGGCGCTTGCGGGAAATCGAGAATGCAGAGCGCCAAGTTTTGGGAAGAACGTATGTTTTGCTCTGCGTTCCCGAAATATTCATCTTAGTCTAAAGTATGACGATCAGGAAGCTTCTTGAACCTTAGAACGTTGTGTGTACCACCTATAGTCTGTGAAAGGCTAAGAATTCAGTGCGTGCTTCACCATCATCAAGCTTTGTGGTTTTGGTAGCACATGGTTGCATGTGCAGCCGAAGCCCGGGGAAAGGCGACAAGCTCGTGTTGGGGGCGGAGCTTCCACTCAATTCTCGATCCTGTCACCGACTACAGATATCTGTAATTGTGTAATTTTTATAACGAGAGCGCAATTTTAAAGCGGCCGTATAAACGAACCGATTACGACGCAGCACACTCACGCGCGCTTCCGAGCGCCAAAGTTGACGCCGATGCACCACCGCACCAAAGTTTGACTTGGGACGAAATGTTTCGCTTTACGTTCGAGAAAGGAAGATCTTACACTGAAGTCGCACGAGCCTTATTCAACCTTTGAACGTCGCGTGTATTAACAGGATACTGTTCTTTTCCGGCAGCAGATGTTATTGACCAGGTTTTGCAGCGTTTCCGCGGGTGTGCTTCCTGTGGGGCTGTCGTTACGGGAAACCTGATCTGGTTAGTTTCTGGAACAAGAAATTGCCACGGTGTCGTGTAGCTAAATGACGCCATGTGGCAGCATGACTCCTCATTGGCATCATGACGCGGCGTGTTGCATTTTGCCGTCAAGTGACACCTTAATGTGAGCTCGTGAGGTCACGGCGAGTGACTCTATTGCATAAGAAACACTGTTACGTCACGTTCTTACTCTGCTCGTCAGGCGGAGTGCAGTAGTAATTTTGTAGAGTTAAGGCCTGTTCACACATGCTGCGGAGCGCTGCAAGCATAGCGCTGACCTCGCGCTAAGCGCGTGCTGACGGGAGCGTTCACCAGATTTGTATCGCACCGTCAAAACTGTTGCTCATGGCAGACGATAAGTAGCTGACGACACGTGAGCAGCGCTACATCAGCGCTTCACTGCATGTGAGAACCGGCCTTTACCACTGAAGACGATGGTCGAGAATCAAAGACGGAGGCCGTGTGTTCTAGGATGTGTTGCTAGAACATCCCGGTGTGCTGACGATTCGTGTGTTCCGCCAGGGCACAACGACCCGAGCTTCGAGGGCGAGGAGGTGTACCCGGCAGCCGTGAGGGTGTTGCAGGGATTCTACCTGATGCGGATCCAGGTGTACGACATGGCGCTCAGAGACCTGCTCCCGGACGGAGCTGCCTGCGACGACCGCAGGAGAAGGTGCAACCACGGAATAGATTCAGTGCAGCGAACGCTAGTCTATTGGAAAGCTATTGAGTGATGGGGTACTAAGGACGCCGAGACCAATGTTCGAGCTCAATGCCCGTTTCGCGAAAGTGCCTGTTGCCGCACGAGCTTCGGGAGCAAAGTTAATGAACATCCGTCACCGCCAGAATCCTGGTCACTGGTGTCACAACTTTGTCGCAACCACGTGGTGTCAACCTAACGTACAAAGCCAATACACCAATGACATTGTTACAATAATTGATATATGCATCTTTCTCACGTGAACTTCTCGTTAATGTTCATAGATGCTCCTTTGTGGTTCATGAGGTACGTATGCGTGTGTCCAATTCTTATTTACATAAGTAGTGTGACAAGTTGTTTTGTTTCCCGAAACTGCATAATGACGTTTTGCCCACGCTGTATATTGTCACAAATGAACGTGACGAGAAGACGAACAGGGAACTGGAAATAAAAGTTGAATCGGCGAACTTGTGCCAAACAAAAAATAAAGGAAGAGCGTCGAGGCAGCAGAAAAGCAGGCGGCGATTCGGCGGCGTAACGGAGAGCGAGAGCGAGACTGACTCGACAAGGTCGCGGGTAGCTGCTTATCTACAGTGCGTCACTATGTCGAAAGTTCGGCAAAGAAGGTTCGAGCTCCGCGCGCTCGGGGCGAGGATGAACTGGCACTTTCGAGAACAAGAAAGCAGAGGGAAAGTTACGTCTGGTGCGAAAACGAACGCGAATCTTCTAGAAGTCCGTGACCGAGCGTTGCTTTCTCGACCCTGCGGGCGGCAGTATATACATATACCTTGCTCTATACCTACTGCCACCGTTATTTTTATGTTATTTACTTCTACTTAATATTTTTCTACCCCGCACAAAAACGTCATCGGGAGATGTAGTGTCAATAAATAAATACCGCTGTTGATTCCAAGGGGCACAAAACTTTCCAAAAACCTTGCAACTAAGTTATAAATATATAAAGATGGGTAAAAAATGTGTTTCTTTCCTTAGTCTGCTTCACCTCAATCTAATGGGGAGTTCCACTAGTATATTTATGTTGGTATTGGAAGCAATATTTTGTTGGTACCTTTAAGCGTGCACGTACTAGCATTTACCACTCGAAAGACGCACACGGGGAGTGCTTTCGGCTCGTTCGAAGCGCCCCCCCCCCCACTACGCACACACACACACACGCACTTGCACGCGCCTATGCACAAACATACACATACGTACACACGCATACACGTGACTGAGACTAGCAACATAACATAATCAGAGGTCAGTTCAAGCTCCAAAACAAATAAAAAGCACAAAACATGCAGAGACACGAACAAGGCGTTCATATTCTCCACAAAAGAAACAACCTTGCATTGACATTGGCATACAGTTATTATAATGCACGCTGGAAGTTCAGCGGGCGCTAGTGTGCTGTTGAAAGTTGAAACATACAGCAACCAGTCGAAATTTGACTTTCGGTAAGGCATTTCTATATAGAAGTGCGGGTGCATTTTTTCTTGGCGTTTGATCACAAGAGGACACACTACAAATATTTCTAACGCTGTGAATAGCTTGGAAGTTTTCTCAATCACATATATGAAAATATTGGTCAGTTACAGTCTTATTTTATAGATACACTGCAATAAACATAGTGTTAAATATTTTCATACGTGCATTTATGCGCGCTGTTGGATACTAGAGAGTTTTAGTAGATCGTCCCGATACCTCCGATAGCCCCGATACCGATACTATGCATGCGCAAGGAAGGCGGTGGCGGAGTATCGGGTATCGTTATCGGAGTCATGGGAACGATCTACTAAAACTCTCTATTGTTAGCGCGAACACGGCGTCTGCGTTTTTCTGCAGGGGGGATTTACGTCCCAAGCGAACGGAGGACATCTTGAACTACGCAGTAACACTGCGTAGCCCTAGCACGCAGTAACACTGGATCGGTAACTTTTTGTGTGTGTAGAGTGCAGACGATCAGAATAGAGTGAAGGCCAGGTAATTATTGTCCGATCTGCAATAAATAAGTACTGCTTTCTTCTTTCTGCTCAAGCATATGCGCGAAGATACTTGTTCTATCATTCAAAACATCACCCACACGCTAAAAAACCTTTGAAAATACGAAGAAGTGGGAAACAGGTGCCCATAAATTCTGCTCGGCATAAGAAATAAAAAGAGGCCCCCTTTTAAAGCCCAGGTACTTTATTCTTTTACGTTTTGAGTGTTTTTAACCGCTCGTAAAAACGCACGACGGGGGGGGGGGGTAGCGGACATTTCATCGAACGCCGTTTCATCGAACACAGTTTCATCGAATGAAGGGACATTTCATCGAACGCCATTTCATCGAACGCCGTTTCATCGAATCGCTTAGGGCCGTTTCATCGAATTTCTCTGTATCGAGTTTTGAGGCATAACAGTGCTTTATAGATGTTTTACCTTACATTTGTTAAGACTAAGGTAGTCACTTAAAAAACTGTCTTTAGGGTGGAGCCAAATTACTAGATATAAAAACCATTGGTATAAAAACAAATGGGTATGCGACTTACTGAAAAGTTTTACTCATGTACCTGTCAGAAAACATGACACTGGAGGTAAAGGCCCGACACATAAAACACTTTTGAATGTCTGTGTCGTTTTTATTTACCGGCTGTCCGGGGGTTTCGGTAATGTGCCATTCACCAGCTCATTTGCACACTTACGCTTAGTTGAAGGTTTTTCACGAAAAGCATTTAACAGCCAGGGCAGCACGCTTATAATAAAACGATACTCTGCCAGGAGAGCACACGAAAGAAAATATAACGATACTCTGATTATCAGCTTTATGCTCAGATTGAACGTTTCTGCTTTTTTTTTTTTTTAGTTTTCAAACTTTACAGAGTCAAAAGGTGCGCAAAGTGTCAGCCAACATGGTTTCGGGCTACACCTGGACTGGAACCACCTCCCCTTCACTGTCAATTTTATTACCGACCCTTTTGCCTATGAATCATCTCCAGGACGCTTTCTTAGGAAGGCCAACCCGCACCAGACAATAGTAAAGCCCTGGGTGTACTCTGTCACCCTTTCGGATCCTCACATAACCCAAGGTTACAGGTACACGCTGTCAAACAATAAAACACTACCCGCTTCTCAGAAAGCACATCGTGCTTTCTTTTTTTTTGTCTCATTTTTAATTGTTTTATGTGACGTGAAGAGGGGTCATTGTTCGCTTATGGCCAGAACATCCATTAGGTCAGAACATCCATCGAGTCAAAACATCCATCAGGCCACGTGACACCAGAGTCAGAACATCCAACGAGTTAAGACATCCATCCGAGTCGAAACATCCATCGAGTCAATACATCCATCGAGTCAGAACATCCATCCGAGCCTAAACATCCATCGAGTCAAAATATCCATCGAGTCAGAACATCCATCCGAGTCGAAACATCCATCGAGTCAAAACATCCATCGAGTCAGAACATCCATCCGAGCCTAAACATCCATCGAGTCAAGATATCCATCGAGTCAGAACATCCATCCGAGTCGAAACATCCATCGAGTCAAAACATCCATCGAGTCAGAACATCGATCCGAGCCTAAACATCCATCGAGTCAAAATATCCATCGAGTCAGAACATCCATCCGAGTCGAAACATCCATCGAGTCAAAACATCCATCGAGTCAGAACATCCATCCGAGCCTAAACATCCATCGAGTCAAAATATTCATCGAGTCAGAACATCCATCCGAGTCGAAACATCCATCGAGTCAAAACATCCATCGAGTCAGAACATCCATCCGAGCCTAAACATCCATCGAGTCAAGATATCCATCGAGTCAGAACATCCATCCGAGTCGAAACATCCATCGAGTCAAAACATCCATCGAGTCAGAACATCCATCCGAGCCTAAACATCCATCGAGTCAAAATATTCATCGAGTCAGAACATCCATCCGAGTCGAAACATCCATCGAGTCAAAACATCCATCGAGTCAGAACATCCATCCGAGCCTAAACATCCATCGAGTCAAGATATCCATCGAGTCAGAACATCCATCCGAGTCGAAACATCCATCGAGTCAGAACATCCATCCGAGCCGAAAAATCCATCAAGTCAAATATCCATCGAGTCAGAACATCCATCAGAGTCGAAACATCCATCTGATTCAAAACTATTATTTGAATTGAAAAGACAAGAAAACAATATATATGAATTTTTTCCGGCTCGAGACTGCGAATTTTGGCAAGTGCCAGTTTCGGGCACTTGCCAAAATTGGATGTAGGATTCCTCGTGTTCGTGTTTTATTTTTGTCACTGAGTATATTTGGCTATTTGTCATCTGCAGTCCTGACATTTCAGGATGCCCTTAACTATCTGGGCCCGTTTGCTCGAAGCGCTAACCGCGGCTAAAGTTAGCCGCAGTACCTAGGAGGGGGATTTTTTATTCACGTGAATGGTTCGGTAGGGATGCAAGGAAAACATGGCGGTGCCCCTGTGAGTGAGCGCCGCTCGCTTTGGAACTAATACGTCGTTGTAGCTGCAATATCGGGCGCGTTAGTAAGCAGCGAATGGTACAGGAGGCCTTCGCTTTGCCTTACCTCACTGCTCGCAAAGCATGAGCAATGACCTCGCCGCATTTTTCTAGATTGTCTTTCGATTCTGGCCATTCCTAAGCCTAAATGAACGCGATAATTGTTGGCATGGCAACGTCTTCGGAAAGCGGATTACCTTGACTCAAACACAAAAGCAGACAGCGTCCCAATAAACCCTTTTCTGAATTACCCAAGCATCAAGGAGAACGCTGGAAGTGTAATTCTACGGCTCGCACTCGCTGGCCTTCCTCTTATAAAATATTCGAAGTAAATAATCATAATAAGGCTTTGACGAACGCGCGTGCAAAACAAAATTTGTTTTAGACTTTTTGCTTTAGAACAATTACTACTGCAGACGCCAGCACGTGCAACGCCTGTAACTACGCTCGGTGCTTGGGGGGACGCTGCCTGCTTTT